CATGATGGACATCTTGGCTCTTTCCATAGTTTGGCTATTGTGGACATTGCTGCTATAAACATCGGGGTCCACGTACCCCTTTGGATCACTACATTTGTGTCTTTGGGGTAAACACCCAGTAGTGCACTTGCTGGGTCGTATGGTAGCTCTATTTTCAACTTTTTGAGGAACCTCCATACTGTTTTCCAGAATGGCTGCACCAGCTTGCATTCCCACCAACAGTGTAGGAGGGTTCCCCTTTCTCCGCATCCTCGCCAACATCTGTCGTTTCCTGACTTGTAAATTTTTGCCATTCTGACTGGTGTGAGGTGGTATCTCATTGAGGTTTTGATTTGGATTTCCCCGATGCTGAGTGATGTTGAGCACTTTTTCGTGTGTCTGTTGGCCATTTGGATGTTGTCTTTGGAAAAATGTCTGTTCATGTCTTCTGCGCGTTTCTTGATTGGATTATTTGTTCTTTGGGTGTTGAGTTTGGTTAAGTTCTTTATAGATTTAGATACTAGCCCTTTATCTGATATGTCATTTGCAAATATCTTCTCCCATTCTGTTGTCTTTTGGTTTTGTTGACTGTTTCCTTTGCTGTGCAAAAGCTTTTTATCTTGATGAAGCCCCAATAGTTCATTTTTGCTCTGGGCTCCTTTTTTTGTGGCTCTTTATCTCCTAGGTCTTGAATGAAGAGCATGTTGGTAGTATATGAGAGGTATTTTTTTTAAAGGTTTTATTTATTTATTTGACAGAGAGAGAGAGGGTACAAGCAGGGGGAGCAGCAGGCAGAAGGAGAGGGAGAAGCAGGCTCCTTGCTGAGCGGGGAGACTGATGTGGGGTTCAATCCCAAGACCTTGGGATTGTGACCTGAGCTGAAGGCACACACTTAACCGACTGAGCCACTCGGGTGCCCCATATATGAGAGTTTTTTAATGGCACACATCATTGCACTTATAATCAAATAACCAGGACATGGTCATATGGCCATGGCCATCCCTAAGTACAAGGGAGATTGAGAAATGCAGCATCCTAGGGGAAAAAGAAAACAAATTTAATAGTTAGCCAGGATCTTCCAGTTTTCTAGTCATATGACAGATTAAGCTGATCAATTTATATTCTCTTACTAATAACACACATTTATAAGCAGGCTGCAATGATTAGAAGTGGAGTCTAGTAAATTCTTTTATGTGTACAGAGTTCACTGGGATCTTATGAAATTGGTCTATGGTCTAACCAATAATCCTTTGCTTCCCTGAATTACTCTATTATTTATTATCCCTATTTAAATGAAAATTACAGTTTTGCAGAGCTTTAAATTCTTTTAAATTATTGTATGCACTTGACATAATTTTGTTTTTCTTTTCTTTGGCTGTTCAGCTTAGTGCTTGCATTTATTATTTATATAATTTTAAAGAAATATTTCTATTTTCCTTAGTTTTTTTCCCTCCCTTTCAAACCCACCAAGGATGTTTGTAGAACGGAACATATGATAATAAGTGGCAAATATGGGTCATTAGAGAGTATTCCATCTCTTAATATTGCTATATTACTCTGAAAAATTTGGCATATTTAGAAATGAAGGTAATAATACCTTATAATTTTGAATCCTATATGTCTTTGTATTCTCGGGGCCTTGGTGTTTTCGATATTTATGAAGATCAGCAAGACTAATAGGCCCTAGCCATGGCTATTTACAGGCATATATGTTACTAAGATATTTTTTAACAGCATTCATCATATGATACACTTGCCAATTAACTTAATTGGTTAAAGGGCTTCATTAACAAAAGCCCTGTGATTTTGTTCCTAAATCAGTTTAATTTTGTTTCATGGACACATACTTACCTCTGATAGACATTAATAATTTCATAACCAGTTAGTTAAAAGTCCTCTCCTACGTACACGTGTGTATTTGTTTGTGAGACAGAGTTCAGTATCCTCGGTTCAGGAGTTACACTGCTGTGTGTGTGAGGGACTTTGAGTGGAAGTGTCAGTCTCTGTACTACTTCAAGTGAGTGGATTTGTTTACTGAGCTTTAAAGATTAACAAGCTATTAATCCAGGAATGAGGGGAGATAGTAAAAGAAAAGGAAAGTGAATTGGGTGTTAGGATATGAGGATCCTAAGAGCTGGCAGTTCAGGGGGGAGTATAGCGTCTAGTCAGAAAAGTAAGCAGCCAACATGGGTATCCCAGAGAGTACGGGGAGACAATACCGAGAGAGTCTTTAACAGGAATCGTACGGCATCCTTCAAGCCTTCTACTCATTGATCTTATATTAGTATCCCCTGGGTGTTAACAGGTGAGGAAAATGAAGCGCATCATTCTTCCAAGTCTTGTTCTCATTTTGGGCTACCCAGAAATGTTACTATTACCATTTGTACGATGACTAGTTCATGCTGAGGTAAATGGGTGAGGCTACGCACAGCCTTCTGTAGTCACTGAGGAGCATACATGTAACCCATTCCTCATATCAAGTTGGGAATCTCTGCTTCAACCAGTGGTTCTCTAACTTTATCCGGCATCAGAATCACCTATAGGATTTGGCCAAAAAGTCACAGATTTCTAGGTCCTGCCCCAGAATTTCTGATTCAGTAGGTCTGGAATGGGGCCTGAGAATTTGCATTTTTTTTTTTTTTTAAGATTTTATCTATCCTCTTGACCGAGAGAGACACAGACAGAGAGGGAACACAAGCAGAGGGAGCTGCAGAGGGAGAGGGAGAAGCAGGCTTCCTGCTGAGCAGGTAGCCCGATGCGGGCTCAATCTTAGGACCCTGGGATCATGACCTGAGCGGAAGGCAGATGCCTAACAACTGAGCCACCCAGGTGCCCCGAGAATTTGCACTTCTACCAAGTTCCTAGGTGATACGGATGCCATTGTCCCAGGGATAGTCTTTGAGAATCTCTGCTCCAGAAGAACTTAAGTAACTTGCTTACCTTGTCACAAATAATGAAGCAGCAATAGGTTGTTTCTGCAGATGATTGTGATTGGATACTTGTCTGTCTCACCAACTCACTTCTGTTTTATTGTCAGTTACCAGGCACAAAGGGTATTATTTTTCAGTACTCTGACTTACTCTAAATGGATTCATATGAAATCATATAGCTTATATTATCACTGTAATATGAATAGTAATCTGTTTAAAATAAGACAGAAAAGTTGAAATTCAAACTTTATTTTAACATTTTGTGGTTCTATATTTAGTTTACCTTTGACATTTAAGAGAGATCTGCAGTACCAATATCTGTCACAAGATGGCATCAAAAGGCTGAAGATTTTGGTTGAAACTTCATTTTTGAGAGTTAGATATATTTCATGAGTATTCAAACCAAAAGAAATTTGTGCTATGAGCTATTTTTTTTAATTTGGGTGATATTTTGGTATTTTCATATCAAAAATACTTTCTTATTTACTTATAAAAATAAAATAGGCACATATATTGACATTATTGATGACTAATTCTTTTAGAAATCAGTGAAACATAAATCTTAGTGTAATAGTATCCAATAGCTTATCATCTTTCCCCAAGAAGGATTTCAAAAGAATTCAAGTTAGTAAGCATTTAAAGGTCTTACTGTCCTGTGATTGATAACGTCCCTTTATGCAAATAGATGATGTAAACCCTGTCCCCAGTGAGCTTTGAATTTAGTTGAGGGGGCAAAATACAGTTCAAAGAGATAACAAAATAATAAAAATGATTAAGTACAATGTTGTACAATATGGATTATACAAACATCATGAAGGAGAATGAGGCCAAGTAAGCAAAAAATTTTAAATGGCATTTTACAAAAGTCTTTGTATCAGTTGAAAACACCATGATGAATCTTCCTTTTACTGCGATTATCTATCTGTTATTATTATAACTTATTTAAACTATAAAGAAGTGTTTGGCAATCTTGACAGCTGTGTAAGTTTCAGTATTTGACATAAACGTCACTTGAAATATGAACTCACCTTTTATTTCATGAATATATAATTTTATTTTTCCTGATTAATTGAAAAAGATTTCTTAGAAGAAGGTGAAGGTTTTCTGGTCACAAAGATAGTAGTTAAAATATTCTTAGATTCCTGGAGTCTGAAAAATATATCTATTAAAAAATCAAGTGTAGAATGGTGATTCCCAGGGGATGGAGGCAGGGGGAGTAAGGGGATTTGCTGTTTAATGAGTATAGTTTGAGTTTTGCAAAATGAACAAGTTTTGAAGATAGGTTTCACTGCTCTGTGAATATACTTAGCACTATCGAACTGTGTACTTAAAAATGGTTAAAGTGGTAAATTTTTTTTTTTGCCACAAAGAAGAAAAAACAAGTATCCTTTATAAATTATGAGCAACTAATAGGTTTATATTGCGGATCAACAGTGTTCCTAGCTTTATTTTAGCCATTAAGAGCTACTTAAAAGAAATAAATGCCCCTTTAAGAAGCTTATAATATAATTAATTGGTGATAGAAGATTAACCTAATTATTAGTAGGTCATCTACTAGAAGTCTAACATATAGCAAGCATTGTGCTGGACATTTTATATAAATTATTTCCAATCTTTAGTTCTCAAAACAATATAGGAAAAAAAAGTACTATCATCCCAGTTTCCCTGTTTTATCACTAAGGAAACTGTTTTATGGATATGAAGGCTCAGCACCTTGTTCAAGGTTGCCCAATTTCTAATCTTGGAGTTGGTATTTTAACCCAAGTCTGTCTAGCAAAATCCATTTTCCCTATACACCATGCTCCTAATTTAAATAAAAAGTAACTAAAGAATACATATAAACAACCAGTAATTTGGGACTCTAGTTTGGTATTTCTGCTGTTGGTTAACATTGCCTGTTTTATTATAATTATGCTGACAAAATTAAAAGATATGTGCTATAATAAATGGTAGCAGTTAATTGGGATTATATTTTAACTTCAGAAAGGATAACCATATGATTTTTTGTTGTTGGTTTGAACTGTCTTCTCTTTTGATTTGTGTTTAACTTTTGGAAACACTAATTTTTCTTCCCTGTGTCTTCGTGTGCAGGTTATGTGGGTATGTAATTTGTGCCGAAAACAACAAGAAATCCTCACTAAATCAGGAGCATGGTTTTATAATAGTGGATCTAATACACCACAGCAACATGATCAGAAGGCTCTCCAAGGACTGCGGAATGAGGAGGCACCTCAGGAGAAGAAAGCAAAAGTGCATGAGCAGGCCCAGTTCCAAGGACCCTCAGGTGACTTATCTGTACCTGCAGTGGAGAAAAGTCGCTCTCATGGGCTCACGAGACAGGATTCTATTAAAAATGGGTCAGGAGTGAAGCACCAAATTGCCAGTGACATAGCTTCAGACAGGTAAACATTTTGTTTAATCTTTAGGTAAACATTATTTTTAACCTTCGTTCCAAACAGAAATAAAAATATATGAAATGTTTAGGCAACAAGTTGTCTAAATGTAATGTCAATGTCCATGTGTTTTATATAAATGCCGGAAGTGATGTTCAGGACTTGAGCTCTTAGAAGTTTGAACAATCTTAGGTTTATTCTGATTTTCCAGAATAAAGAAATGAAATAAAACAGGGGATTTAGATAGAAGGCTATTGGCATGGGAAAGACAGACTGGGATAAGAGCCATGGGAATGAAGAAGAGATGGTTTTAAGACAGTTTAGAGAGGTTGCATTGAAGGAACTAGCCAGAAGTGGGAAGTAAGAGAATGGGAAAAGTTACTGAGGTCTCTAGAAGTTCCACCTTGGGCTGAAGGCTGAGGTAGTTTTCCAAGCAGGTAGATCCCGACGAAAGGATTTCACGAGTTTGCTGTTATCTGTGGGATAACTCTGTTACTACTATTTGGGATCAATTCTATGGGCTTCTTCATGTTAAAAATGTTGGACTTTTAGATAGTATTTATGGTTCTATATTTCGTGCCTTTGGAAGGGGAGAATGAAACATTTTCATGGGAAGATTATTTTTCTATACCACATTCCTATTTGAATTGCAAATTAAAAAAAAATCTGGTTTATACTATTTCTGTCACCCAGAAGTGGCCAATAAATTTCTGTGTGAATAAGTCCAAAGTCATGCATTTGTGGAAAATCAAATCTAAAATTATACTAATAGGATGGTGGGTTCTGAGCATTCATTTATCACAGGTAAGATAATTGGAAGTCACTTTATATAGTGCCTAACGTGTCACCCCGATGTATTGCTATGTCTTAGGAGAATAATAAAATGATGACTTCACCAGTTCTTTTGAAAACTAGCAAAAGTAAAACAATGTAATCCTATCTTTGGGCAAAACAAGGGTGGTTTCATGGCTGAAATACTATGAACATGTCTCAGTGTAAAATCTCAGGAACCCAAGAATTTTAAGTTTAGAGGACCATCTTCGATTGAGGTGCACCTTAAGCAGACAAAATAGTTTATTTGGAGGGCAGTCCCAGGCACCACCTCTAGGGGAGTGAGCAATGATCCAGTTAAGAGAAAAAAACACAATAGTAGGCATATTCAAGGGCAGGTTACCTCTTTTGGCCAATGTGTCTCAATTTTACTGAGACTTCTGGGAGACAGGGTAGAATGGCCTCAGAGGTATCCTACCTAATGGGGAAGGAGATTGGGGTATTTATCCCTATCTCTCCTTTGTTATCGGTCTGGGGTTGTTCCGGAGGGTGTTAACTCTTTGGGACTCACTGGCCAAGCATGTTCTTGTGGCCAGAGAAAGGACTCAGGCAGAGTATTACAAATATGGGAAGGAGACAGTGCTGTGTAGGGACTGGTAAATGATACAGTGTGAGTGGGGAGGACTTTAGAAATCAATAAAGCCTGTAAAATGGCAACCACAATGGTCACGGTATATGAATTTGGGTGAAAAAATAGATGATAACCAGTGGAGGTAGGATTTTCAATGAATGAATGACTAAGTAAAACGGATGCTGGGAACATGGATGCCTTCTGCAAAAACTAGATAGACACATGAGATAGTTTCCTTTGGAATTTAGAAAGATGGTTTAGGAAGAGTAAAAGGAAATACTAAAACACTGCATCATATAATAGATTATGAAGTTTTGGGATGCATTTCATCAGGAAGTTGTGGATGTTAAAAATAAATCCAACAAGTTTATGAATGATTAATTCATCTTTGTAAGGAAGCTAGATTCATCTCTCTAATCTTTGAAGATGGCGGTGATGAGAACAAATATATCTCTTTCAGTATTATCTCTCAACTCTTCTGTTGACAAAGGATTAGCCTGGATGAACAGTAGAATTTGATCCATTGTGGGGAAGCAAGATATAGTAGTTCTTTTTTTTTTTTTCCCCCTTCTCTTTTGCCTGGTGACTTTGGCTGCCATTACTAGTAAGTGTGTACCTTAATGACTCAAAGTATTCTGTAAGTATATCCTTCCTTTCTGATTCTCATATAAGTCAAACCAGTAGCTCCTTTTGTGTATAAGAATTACTCAGTCAGGGAAGAAGTTAGAGTGTTTTAGATTTAGTAGTTATGCCTAGAAAATGGAATTGGTTATAATTTGTAAAAGCTTTTATTTGAAAAATACTTTCTCTTCAAGAATAATTCAATTCCCCTTATCATTAGCAAAAAAAGAGCATTTGTTTTATTATTTTTAAATGTAGATTCTGTAGCAATTTGTTATTTGTGCATCTCTGAACCCACGGAATTCTTTCCCCTAGAGCGCGGGGTCAGCAAACTATGCCTCCAAGCCAAATCCGGCTTGCCACCTATGTTTTGTAGATAAAGCTTTCCTGGAACACCCCATACTATTCATTTACTTAGTGTTTCTGGCTATTTTCAGCTACAACTCCAGGGTTGGGCAGTTAGAAGGGACTATATGGCTCTCATAGCCTAAAATATTTACTCTCTGACCCTTTACAGAAAATGTTGGCCAACTCCTACGCTAGAGAGTAGTTAGTTCTCTTGTTCTGTTGATATGTCTGCTTTCTTTGCTCATTTTTTGTTACTGTTTAAATCATTTCAGTTAAGCCTGTTTTCTTGTAGATACACCACATCTTCTTTATCCATTCATCTGTGGATGGACATCTGGGCTCTTTCCATATTTTAGGCCTGTTTTCTTGTTCTACTTTCTCCCTGCCCCTCTCCCAGGCTCTCTCTCCCTCTTTCCTTCCATTTTTCCCTCTGGGTCTCCTGTCTCTCTCTATTTCTCTTTTTCTTTCTGCATCGCTCTCCTTCCTTACCAGAATGGATCTTCTAGCAGTTTGAGCTAGACAGTGAAATGGAGCTACTGATAAGGAATATAACTTCGGTTTAAAGTATTATTAGTAATTTGTTTCCTCAGTATCATTCAGAAACTGGTGGCCTCCAAAAAGAGAAGCTTTGGCTCAATTAATTTAAATCTCTATAGATCTTAGAATTGTGTTTGACAGATACAAAAATATTTTACATTTTCTTCTTTTAAGGAGTTTTAGTTTAATCTTTAACTACAGTAGCTTTGACCTGTTTTATGACTTTTCTTCCCTCGAAGGTTTTGGACCCTTAGTATTTATTGAGTGAATGAATATCAATTGGCCCTAGATCTTGGCTTTGAGTTAATGGATATTTACTTAATTAGTTTATTCATAACAATGGCATATATTTATTATCAATTTAGATGCAAAATATTGTTAGAAGTTTTCAGATATGTTTTTTTTTCAGAATAGATTTGAAATCACCATTTTTAAAAAATTATGTGCCGTTTGCTTACCCTTTGTTGTGTCCCTCAGTAATGCCCAATGGCTTCTCAGCCTGTAATTTACACACATGTAATGTGGTGATCTTATTAAAATATAGATTTGAATTCTGTACTTCTGAAGTAGGACTTGCTAATCTGTATTTTCACAGGCTTCCAAGTGATGCCAGTACTTCTCGTGCGGGCCAGTAGTGAGGCAGAAGGGCATCTAAGAAGGTCTTAGGGAGGGAAACACCAGTGGCCTTTAATAGCTCAATGGCAGTTGTCCTCTGTAGCTCTGCCACCAAGAGGCATACCACTTAGTGAACATGTAAGGTTCTTAGAGGCAGCGTAATTGTTCATTTGAATACACTGTTTTGACATATTTATTGAATGGAGGACAAAGGTGGAAACCAGCTAGCTACCTGGTGGCAGATTGACTACATTCATGTAGCTGCAAGCACCTAACTCCTTTATTATGATGTTGTGGCTGAGCATTTACTTATTTAAATATGTTCTATTTTTTATAAATTACTTATTTCCCCATTATTATACAGTAAGGAATATATATATCTTAAAAGTTATATAAATATATATATTTATATATATAATATATATAAATATATATATATTTAGGATATTTTATCTCTGGACTCATTTTCAAAGTAGTAAAGGGGATGTTACAGAATATTTGTTTTACAAAGAGGCCTTGGGTTGGAGGAGGCATGTGAACCACTGGGTTAAGGAATCTAAGGTGGGATCTAGAGGAGGGTGGGTGAAATAACCACTTAAAAACTAAATTTTCGGGGCACCTGGGTGGCTCGGTTGGTTAAGCGTCTGCCTTCGGCTCAGGTCATGATCCCAGAGCCCTAGGATCGAGCCCCGCATCAGGCTCCCTGCTCAGCGGGGAGCCTGCTTCTCCCTCTCCCTCTGCTGCTCCTCCTGCTTGTACGCTCTCTCTCTCTCTGTCAAATAAATAAATAAAATCTTTAAAAAAAAAACTATATTTTTGTTAAGAAAATAAAATTAAATAAAAACTAAAATAAATTTGTCTTACAACATTTAGTTGACATTTTATACACTTGAAATTATTTAAAAGTTGGATGCTTCGTAATTTTCATAGTTGAAAATTAGTAGTTAAAATTTAGGAAACAGTTAAATTTTTTTCTTTTATGTATAATTTTAGTATTTATTTAACACTTCCTAGGACATTGGGAGAAGTTAAAAAGTAAGAAATGTTATGGCTAATTTGTTTGGTGGAAGGGATGAAAACTGGAAATCAGAAGGCATAGTTCCTGTTCTTACTTCTTCTCTTTACTATTATCATTTGTAGATGTATACCTTTTGTTTGTGTCTCCATTTTCTCATCTCTGAAATAAGAAAGGCAGTCTGTAAGATCTCAAAAAGACTTCCAGTTGTAAAATTCTTTGCTTTGTTGTATTTTAAGGTCTCTGCCATGGTATAAACTTGAAAGTTTTCTCTTCCATTATTTTTTCTTTCCTATAACTGGTAGTCAATTAATAGAGGGTTATCTTCCATATTGTAACAACTCATTGTTATAATCCACTTATTCAATAGATATTTATCAAATTTCAGTTAGATATTATCTGTTACTACATGTCTCAAATAATTTCACCATGATTCATATATAAAACTGAATGTATCTGACATGTTAGATT